ACTGCTCAGCGGCCTATTTGGCGGGCAGCCCAACACAGTAATGCATCCACCACTAACGTCCGGTAAGGTAACGAAATTTCGCTCCTGAGACACAGAGCCAATGAACGTGAAGATTTTGCCTAATCAGCTGTTCGTGAAACTTTCAACACTCGAAATGGGGAAATCTCTGAGCCATGACGACATAAGACCGTTGCGGGAGTGTCAAGCCCAGCCATATCCGATCTGTCCGGGCGGCGATGAAAGCAAGTCAAATCCCAAAAAATGAAAGTTCTTTTCTCCCTTCACCAATTTTCCCGAAGGCGACTGAAAAAAACCTGTGCAATTACAGACTGATGGCGTTACTTAGCATACTATCCGCGGTGTTGTGAAGTCTGACTGCAGGTGCTATTTGGGACCACTAAACAGAAAAACTTCGTCCATCTCACCCAACGCAGCCTCAAAGCGGACTGTCATGTGCCACAAACTTGCTGACCGCTTGGGATGACTGGATCGGTAGATGGGACAACAAGCAACCGGCTGACATTATCCTTCTAAACTTAACCAAAGCTTACGAAAGAGTACTACAGTACGCCATACCAAGCTTATAAACGTAGTTATGACTGAACCATTCACGCCATAGTTCACGTAGCTAAAGGACAAAGGACTGTGTGCCAAGCCGAAGAGAATTAGGTCGGCATGGAGGAGCCCAAGAATAGGAGTTCCTCAAGGAGTAATTGTTGAGTTGCTACCAACATCGCTATCCGTAAATAACCCGCTCGTCCGAATATCCTCATCTATCCCCCTCTTTGACCACGGCACCAAAATATGGAGGACGATTGGCGGGATGAGGATCGTGGGAAACTCCGAGACGGTTTGCTACGGCTGAAGTCCTGGTCAGCTGTAAGGTGCCTGAGCTTTAACCTGTGGTGATCCAAGGCCATATATCTTCGAACACCAGAGGAAGGGAAAATCAGCCAGCCCCCAACGAGTGAGCAATCTCCAGGCTGTCCACAGAAGAGGATCTGGGGCCATATTGCTTGACACACTGCATGCCAGTGATAATTATTGGGGAAAGGCGGCGAAAGGGAGCACCGTCATGCACCCCCAGGAAGTCATCCTGGGGCGCTAAACCCTAGGTTATTCCCCATGACACTCAAAACCTCTACCGGACCACACCCAGAGGTATTCAACGTGGTAACCTTCCCGCTGCTAGAGAGAGACCCCAATACTGTCAAAAGGAACGGAAAAGGGAGACGAGGTTAGTTGTCGAAATAACAGACAAAACATGTGCGCAACATCATGGGCGTTTCAACTTATTCACCTCAAGCTATCAAGAGAGAAATGGCAACCTAATAAGACCCTACAACCAAGTGGACCACTCCAACAGGGCGAAATTATGGGTCTGAAACTGACAATCTCGGGCGGACCCCACCAGCGTACCCTATCGGACAGCAAAGAAGGGGGCAATGTCTAACTTCCTCGGTGGCGGAAGAAGTAGTCAACATCCAATATCATCAGCGCGAGTAGAAAGAACTTGTTGTTTTTGAGCTGTCACCTCCTGGTTTCGAGGCTTGGTTCTTTTTGTTTGATTAAACCCCTCCGATGTTCCTGGAAATCTTCACTTTTTTCCTTCTTATAGCTTTGGAGTTAGTGATTGTCTATTCGGAGATATTTTTCTTTCAAACTTTAGCTTGGTTTGCGTTGGGGAGCAGGGGAGCTGCTGATAAGATCAATAAGCCTTTTGTGACTCCCGCTTTTGTAAGCACTTGCAAGAAATTATTAAGCGTTACTTAAAAATTGCTAGAAATAGGGAGAGTAGTGAATGAGAAAAAGGGGAGTGAAAGGTACCTGTGGAGAAATAAGTTTTGCTGGTAATAATGAGGAGAAGCGATACCAGGAATAGGGAATGCAGGAGTAGATGAGCATACCTTTCGTCTCTACTCGAGAATGTTTGTGGCAAGCCACTTGCAGTCACGTTTTTATCCAGCGGTAGTTTGAAGTTGACTGGTATAGGTAGGGCCATTTCCTTCGACAGGGCGTTCCATAAAGTCCATGCTCCATGTGAGAAGTCTGATCTCACTCTCGTCCTCGCCCTATGGTGAAGCATGTGAGTAGGGTTTCCGCAAAACTGCGTTTTAGGCCGACAATGTCGAGCTACTTGCGTGGTCTACCCGGCTTATGACCTTGCTGGCTGTTATCAGCCACCTCTTTTCTTTCGATAGCTTGATACGAACGAGCTGAGTTGCCCAAGGCGTCGCGCATTTGCCTTTTCTGTCAATAGTGATAAGAATGGTTTTATTCTCAAAGCTGTCTCACGGATACTCACCAGAATTTTCAGCGTATCATATGTAGCGGCCAGAATCCAATAATCTTGGCCTGAACGCAAGAAATAACTAGGAGGTGCCAACTAAGGTGAAGCTGACTAGTTCCTGCGTTCTACTGTATAGCTTCCGAACTTCCACGAGTGACGCACAGTAGAAGGCTGGATCAAAATATTAAAACACGGTTTGTAGTAAATCAGTGGTAGATTCGTAGCAAAATCTGTGGCACTGTCAAGTCAACAATAAGTTATATCAAAATTACGAAAATACCTCAACAGTGCTGTTGGGTAACTATACAGTCCAAAATGTTCTCGGGTGCAAATACGTACTACACGGTAAAAACTGGCTAAACAAATACGACTGTTAAATACCTGATAGTCAATAAGAATATTCCCAAAAAGAGGGATCAAAACTTTGTCTACCAGAATCAAATGGACAAATAAACGTTTCCAGTAGACAGTCAAAAGACGAACAGTCAAATCACAGCACAACCGTAGGTTGGACCAAAACAAAATGTCGTGCGCAGTAAAACAACATCACCTTATCAACAGTCCAGCGTCACATAATAGGAAAGTGAAACACTCATAATAAGTCTCAAACATACAAAGACAAATACCGAGTGTAAAGTCAAATAAGACAGTTAAACAAGCAAATAACATTACACCGGCGAGGGTCAAAGGTACACCATCCATAACGAGGGTGAAAATATTAAAGTAATTGTCAATACAATCAAATAGGGTAATCGGGAGGGATTTTCAGGTCAGTTTTCCGTTACATCATATGGCACCAGCCAGACGGAGGCAGTGTAAATGTATACAGAGCAAAATGAAATAAGTATAAATTACATAAAAAGGTAAGAATATTCACTCTATCCACAGCTTTCTTGAGAATGCGCAGTCAGTTTGGGTAGGCTATCACATTGGCAGTTAAGCTCATAATACATAGATAGTAACATGCCCATCATTGGTTAGTTTCCTTTCGAAAACTGAAGTCGATTAGTTAGTCCGGCAACTGACCTTGTCCGCCTTCTCCGTAACTTTTCAAGAGTATCCGCTTCTCTCTTTGGTCAAGATCAGACCTCCGCACGGCATGCCCCAGGAAACGCTCTGTCGAAGGAAATAGCTACGCAACATCGGCTGGCTCCATCAAACGACTACTCGATAAATACATGAGTGCAAATGGCCTACCACTATACCCCCATACACTTCTCCAGAATCAACACCTTCGGGTTCGACAAGATTCAACATTGATGCTGACCATCATAGTTTAACTGGACTCGCTAAGCTGAAGGCATGCTGCCGTGTTACGTTGCGTCAGCGGTAACCGACCCTCTAGCCAGCTAGCTGGAACACATAGTTATTTTGGCACGACCTAGCAAATATACTATTTTATTCGACCACGCTGTTATGTTCTTTCTTGGTCTCGTATTCGAGGGTAGATAACAAGTATGAATAACTAGTGATTGGTCCCCGCGTTTGTCAAGTTCGCACCAGGACACTTCCTAAACCAGCAAAATTAGCCGGCAAGAATTGAAGGTATGCTCACCAACCCTGTATTACCGGTCCATGGTGTTGGCAATGAAACCCATCCCTTCTGTATGTTATGACCAGCGATTCTCATTTGTCATTAAGTACTCTACTCCACTCTTTTCTCATTCCACAATCGCCCTATATCTCTCGCTGTTTTTTAAATAGCTCCCCATACTTACGTGAAGAGGCTTATAGAAACAGGGATTCAGAAGATTTAAGTGATACTATCAGCAGCTTTGTTACTCTCCCGAATAAATGAACCTTTAATTTGCAAAAGAAAACCTTCGGATAACCAGATACTACCTCCAAGATATAAGCAGGTAAGATGTAAAGATTTCTGCAACCATTGTGGAAAACTAATCGAACAAATAGGAGCGAGCCTCAGTGGACTTATTCAAGAGACGGTTAGACAGTTGTGTCACCTTGCATGGTACTCAGTGGATCACCAACCCCGCTGGTCCACCCTCACCTCACTTCCACCTACCACTCACTATCTCTCTTCCTAAAACCCCCACATTTCTCACTAATTCTTCCCTAGAAAATAGACCTACGCGATCTACTTCTACCTTTTGGGTGAACCCCATGAATTTTTTTGCTTCTTTTATTTCTCTTCTTTCCCCCTTTCTGATCTTTTCTCCTCTTCTTTTCTTATTCCTTCTTCTCTCTCCCTTGTTTCATTTTTTTATTCTTTACCACCACCTTACTATTCTCATCCAAGTACCTACACAGATAAGAGTCACGACAGTCCCCTAATCGTCCTAGCAACCCGCAGGTCTCCAATCGCTGTGCAAATTGCTAATTACTAACCAGCAGAATATCCACCCCACCGAAGCCAAAAGCAAGAGAACAGAGGGGATTTCCTCGTCCACTGCAGCAGTGAACCAAACAACTCGAACCAAGCCCTAAGAACTAGACACGAGAGATCAAAAAACGATCACTTTTCTACGTTCGCACTATCAGTATTGGATAGTGGAGCCTTAAGACCCAAAAGTGAGAGTTTAAAAGCTACAAGTTCCCTCTACTCCTACTATTGCCATTGGATGCATTATAGCTCTTCAAATGTACAGTCAAGGGCGAGTTCATGCTCAGGCCGCTAGTTTTAAGTTTACACCGGGACTTATTCTCCGATATTTTTATTTCAAGTGTTAGACCACATCGTCATTCGTTTGTTATGACCAACCCTGAAGATTTGAGTAGCTCAGTATGTCTTCTTTGATCTGGTCAATGTATTATTGCTAGGAAATACAAGCGTTTATCACAAAAGTTAAAAGTTTACCTGGGGGAACGAACATTCAACAAGATGAGGCTGAAAAGGCAGCTCATCTGTACCTCAGAGCTCGCAAAAGAGATGTTGAACGTGCTGTGGAATTATACAAAGCGAATAAGGTACTTTGAAGTTTTAATTTTGTTTCTGTTATCTACCATAAAAGATGTTCGAATCTAGCTAGGTTATAACGACCGATAGGTCATAGTTTGTATGTTTTTTAGTCAAATGTTTATTGTGTCTTTAGCATTGGTAGGTTAATAAGCTTGACAATTAGGTGACTTATTCTGCTGCTCTACTAATTTCTTGTCTCCTAAACTGTGCATAATGCTAAACACGCGTAAGTATTTCATCGACTAATCTCAATAAAAATGTCACTTGGGGGACTAAGAATACTCAGTCAGATCTTAAACGGATGTGCGTATAATCTATGACGTCAAATTCATGGTAGAAGAATACTGGCTTACATTAATTCTTGCGGTAGTTATTTCCAGAAAGACCCGAACTTCTATTGGGTATACTCACCGACAGATCTGTTACTACTTGTTCCAATAATGAGTTCCAGTCAGTGACCACTATGGAATAGCCGATAGTCTCCTAGAAGATGGTATGACTACATCATCTGGATCTTTTTCTGAAATCCTTTCAAACTGATCAATCCTAAAGGTAGGGAAGAGTTTAGTTGAATTGATAAGCAAGTCATTTTAATTCCTTAATTCATGTTTAAACCTCATTGTCAATACTGAATTTATGAAGCTTCTTCGTTGGTTCTCTCTCTGTGTGTGTGGCAACCTACCAAAAACCTTACTAAAGTCACTAAGGACCACATCTGCTGGGAATTTATTGTCTTCAGCTTTAATCCAGTCAACTGTCTGTAGGAGTAGATTTTCTAAATAAGAACATCCAACCCCTTAAGGATATATTGCTGTTTTATCAGTAGATTGTGTTAGTAAACGCTTTTATATATTATTATGTGTCTTGTCCACTATTTGAATCACGATACTAATCAGACTAACACACCTTTAAACACAGAAGTCAACACTTTTCTAATCCAGAATAAACCGTAACTCAGATAATAGCATGTTGAGTAGCATATTCGAACTTTGGACAGTCGCTATCCAGCTTTTAAGTTTCTTAGCAGCAGCAGACTGTTCGCATTCGTCAGAAGGAGGACTGGAAGTAAACGCGGAATCCCCTCTCTGGTGATGGATGAGGAGTCGGATAGTCTGGCAGAATCTAATCTGTCCAAAGCTGAATGTCTTTCTGATTACTTTAGTGAAGTCCTTTCTGTAGATCATGACGATGAAGTGCTAAATAGTGGTGTCAGCACTGTTCCACTAACGGATACAGTGTTCACAACAAAGGAAAGTTTTTTAGTTGCTCATTAACCTTAAACCTGGAAAATCCTTCGGTCCCGATGAGTTGTATCCCAGACTTCTATCCTCGCTAGCAGACGTCATTGCTGAGCCAGTCACCGATCTTTTCTACTTGTCCTTAACTCAGACTCGCCTCCCTAGAGACTGGAAAGATGCCATAATCAGCCCAGTCTTTAAGACCGGTATTCGCCATTTGGTGTCTGACTATCGCCCTGTGAGTTTAACTAGCATGGTTATTAAGACTTTAGAAAAAAATTCGTGATAAGGTACTTAAACATGTTGAGTCAGCCAATCTTTTGGCACTACAACAACACGGTTTTCGTACTGGACACTCCTGTCTAACTAAGCTCCTTATCGCATTAGAGGAATGGGTTGCAGCTCGTGATTGCAAGCTGCCAATAGATGTCGTGTTTATAGACTTAAGTGAGGTATTCGACAAAGTGTCGCATGTGAAATTGTCAGGTTTGGTGCTTCATTGCAAGCTTGGATTAGGGACTTTCTGTACGATGGCGGGCAGAGAGTAAGGGTAAATGGGATACTATTCGGGTGGAAACCTGTGATGAGTGGAGTTCCTCAAGGAGCGATCCTAGGTCCACTACTTTTCTTGTTATATATCAACGAATCGCCGAAAATGCTCAACTCTTTGGTACTGTTCTTCTCTGATGATGTGGAGATTTGGAGAGCTATACTCAGTGATGCAGATAGGTATACACTTCAAGCTGATTTCGATGAACTAGTAGGTTGGTCCAAACGTTGGTGCCTGGAAATCAACTGTAACAAAAGGGTAATTATGCACATTGGTTATAGCAATTGTTTCCAGTACACCAATACTCCCAGTCTTTGAACTAAAAGACTTGGGTGTCATCATTAGTCATGATTTGAAAATCTCGGCAAGCTGTAATTCAGCTGCAGCAAAGGGCTTCCGTATATTATGGTCCCTCCGCAGAGCTTTCAAAAGTTTTGATCAGGATATGTTCAGAATACTCTACTCTGTTCACGTTAGACGTCACTTGGAGTACTGCATTCAGGCGGCCAGCCCATGCCTAAAACATGCTGACGCACTCGAGTGTGTTAAAAAGGTGTAGGTACTAAGCTTGTGGCTGGCCTTTCGAATTTGTCCTATGAGGAACGACTAGATCAGCTAAATCTATTCCCACTGTCTTACCGTAGGAAACGGGGTGATCTCATACTGGTATTTCGTATTTTTAAAGATGATTTTGCTACCGATATGTCGTGTCTTTTCCCCCCTGCTAGGACTGACTATTTCCTGGGGGCGCCACAATAGAATTCAAAAGCCGCGATCGAATCAACTTGGCGTGAATCTGCGTTCCTCCCATCGTGTTATTAACGACTGAAAGTCCTTACTTCAGCAAGTAGTATCAGCACTTTTTGTCAACATGTTCAAGGAGGAACTAGATCTTCACAGAGATATCCTCTGCAAGGATTAACACAGGCCAACTGGCCTACTATCCTTATAACTGAAGCTGAGCAGGAAGACTGTGGTTTGGATTGGTTGCGCTCATGAAGCGTTAGTAACCGTGTCAGCTTGAAGAGTTCCGTCAAAACTGTCAGCAGAAAACACAGGTGTAAGAGATAAACTTTCTACTTTAGCTAGGTCCGTTTCCACTACACTTTCCACTTCACAATAGGATAGTAAAACAGAGATTCCCCCACTCCTTTTACTTATTCTCGTAATATGTGAGAACAACTGTTTAGAATCGTTTAAATAATCACCCACTAACGATCTCTCATGTGCTTTGTGATATTCATTGATGGTAAATTCCCATCCTAGTGTAAATATTTAACTGCCTGTGATTGATAATAAGTTCTACAGAAGTTTTCTCTGTTTGCCCTGTCAACCCAAGATAGTCTATGATAATTCCTTCAAGGGGTATATGAAGATGGAAAAAGATAATTTCACACTAAACATATTCTTAAGCCCTTTCCAAGCCTCTTCTAAGCCACCTATATTAAAAAAACCCAGTCATTTGAATTAACATGTCCATTGATCCCTGACCTATCAATGCGCCAAATATTTGACTGAGGAGAAACTGACTTGTGAGTCTGGTCCAGCGTTCTAATTGCAAAGTGATCACTAATAAACAGTGCGGGGAAGTATCTGAGGTGTACCACGTCCGCACATTGATGTATGAAGACTAGGTCCGAAACTTGACTTCTGTATCTGCCTATAATGTGTGGGACACTATTTTCTAAATGTGTACATTCTAGAATATTCAATGGTATGCTGTTACCAAAATATATGTCTGATTCAATGATGATGCATTCTCACCACTAAGGTCCCCTACAATCGGGCATTTATTGTTGATTTGCAATATAATTTAGCACGAAACCATCGGTAAAATAATACCGTAAATTATGGTCGTTCTCACAACGTTACTTTTCTTGCAGCAAACAGTCACACACTTGCGATTCCAATGCTTCTCATAAGTAGCTCAGCGTACGCACAGATTCTCGTTCATATACAGAATTGCACGACCATTCTTACTAACCCTCCTTCCCCCCTAATCAATTCATAGCCTAGGATGAGTGGAAAGATATCCACACCCGCAGTTAACGATGTTTATGTGGTCACTACTACATCTGGTTCCCAGCACTCAGCTAAGTCACCTAACTTGGAAATTCTCGAGACTACGAGCATGAGTGAAGCAGACTGCTAAGCTGTTTGTACAGACACCTGGCTTATGAATGCCAGTCTTGAGAGCATTTGCTGTCGATACTTCACTACCCAAAAGCCTAGAATTTTTTAGATTTCTTCCCCTTACCGGCCTTTTAGATCAGCCACCGCCCTCTTTTTTGTCCTCAAGCTGCCATCCACAGGTATGCGTATATTCCTATGTCTTACCTTGTGCGCACTTCTAAGCATTAGCTTGCATCCTTCATAATTTCTCAATACAATATTGAAAACCTTTGTATATATACAGCTCTTTCCTCCTCCTCCTTTCTTTATAAGATCAAGTTGATGGCATAAACTTCGCTTGTATAATGAAGAAAGATGTCGGAAGGTGATGGAGTATTTCAACTAGGTTTCAGGTCATGAGCATGTCTTTGGAACACAACAGGGTTCCTCCATTCTTTCATATGTTAAAAAGTTAAAATGACTTATATACCTTCAGCTTTAGATGCAAGGCTTATAGCCTTTCATGGTTTCTTAACCTCTGCTCACATTCCCCTGCCAGAAGTTATTTGTTCTTCCGCCTCCTACTCTTATCAGAGAATTCAGTCCATTTAGCAAATTGAGATACCATCGAGTCTCCAGACATCACTTATATCCAATTTGGGCGGCACAGTAAGTGTGCAAAACTGATTCCGCGGTTATATGACTAAATTTTCAATAGGTTTATTTAACAGACTGCCTACTTTTTCTGGACCTATTTCAGTTCGTTAGAACAGGTAATTTGCAAAGCGAAACCCACTTCTTCAAACCTCTTTTAGTACGACATCCTATGTGGTTTTGTTATCGTGAACTATTTCTGTCATCTATGATACTAACTTTATCACCTCTGTACTCCAAACTCATCATAGTGTTATTGGCTATATTGTGAGTGCTTTTTAGGTGCCTCTCGATATACAGCCTTTTGAATCAGTACAATCTCTGGCTTGTTAAACACAATAAAAATGTCCATAAGACAGACTTTCAACTGAAAAGTTAACAAGGATAGATTTTGATGGAATGAAACAACAAAACGTAAGAAATCCTATTCCTTTTTTAAACAAAACGTGTTGAA